AGAAAGACAAGATCATACTTTGCATACTTTATTAAACAAATTGCCACCACAAAGCTTTGGTTCATTTAGAGCTCAATTCAAGATATGTGTGCATACGTTCTAAAGTAAGTGCTCCCTAAATTCCTGGAGATTTTGGGAGCCCTGTCAACCTGTCTCTGGGTCTCTCCACTGAGGAACATGTTAACTTGGTTCTCCTTAACCCTTAACAGTGACATCTGGGCAGGCTGTCCTTTATTTTATTTTTTCGGTGACATTGATGAGCAAGCAAATCGTGCTATATTTCACAGGCAGGTGGCATATCTACCAGTTTCAGTTGTGACCACAGACCACAGTATCGCCTTGAGTAAGCTTTGAACATTGCAAGTTAGAAGAAGAAAAAGAAACTGTCTTGATAGCTGCAACAGAACAACAAGCATTGTGGGGCAAACATAAAGCCCCTTGAGTGAAGTCTGAAATTGATAAAACGTTTTTTTAAGCAAGCAGCTGTAAAGCAAAGAACAAATTGCTTCCTTTAATAAAAAAACGAAAAAAACAGGACCACTAAAACCCTCCATAACACTTCCTGTTACCGTAGACTGAGAACGTGTCCTTTATAAGTAGATCTTCTACTCCACAGCTTTTTCTGAATTAGCCTGACCAGAATCTGTTCTGGTAACAAAGTCCTTCAGTAAATATTACAGTTACCTTTATGGCTCTTCTCTTGTCCATAAAGCTCCTAATTGCACCCCAATAAATGTCTGGTATTATAAGTGAACCAAACACCGTAGACAGAAGGAAATAAACTTTTTTGCAAGATAAGCACATGTTTGTGCATGTGCAAAGGCCTTTGTGTTTGATTGAAATTGATATTTCTTTAGTAGGACTTCTCATACATCATCATCCTTGCTAATGCAATTTGTCTTACAAATAAAGTTGAAATCAACTTGACTTTGAGCTGCATTTGTATTCTGCTTTGCACAAAAATATCCATGACGCACTTGTGGCTGCAAGTGTTAAAGCTTGTTAATGATTAAACCCATAGTGTTATCTGAAGTCATTATTCGTGCTCACCCAACAATTTAAAGCACATTTTCCACTAAAAACCTTAAACTTCAATTTAGGCTTATATCTCAATGAGAGAAAAAAAGAGGAAACAAATGTGGAGAGAAAGTGGGTGGAGAAGAAAATGGGTCCATTCAGCACCTGGCTCCTCTCTTCTGTTAAACTGTCCGTGTGTGTGTGTGTGCGTGCGTGCATGTGCGTGTGTTTGTCTGGAGCAGGATTTGTCAGTTGAATTGTGTGGGCTTGGGTAATAAAGGGCCCACTGTCTCGGTGGTGACAGGTGTGCTTGGATTTACACACACACACACACAGACACACACACACATACACACAATGACTACGCTCGAAGACGAAGGTGACAATACATTTGTGACAGATCTGCTGTAAGGTTTGTGAGGACAGAGAGGGTGAGGGGGAAAGACAGGCTGAAGAACGGGTGAGAGACAGAAAAGAGAGACAGGAAAAAAAACTCATAAAAAGCGAAAGCAGACAGGATTCAGCAGACAACCCTCAAGCCTACACAAGTTAGTTATCTTATCATCCATCTCCATGTAAAAACCGTAGCAGTCACTGTGGATGACTGAGGCCCCTCCGTAATACATGAACTATTAGGTGTGCTTTTAACAGGGTGAGGTGCAGCAGAGCAGAAAATGTTTGTGAATTTATGTCAGTAGGGAAAATGTCCTATTGGCCCCTCAGATCTCAACAAAAGCTCCAAATATGGCCAGTCTGAACTTGAATTTTTTTTTTTTGTGGCCTATTATGTGTCAAGCATTAGTGTTAAGAGGTGGCGGTCAAGTGTGAGTTCGACAGGAAATAAAAAACAGCTCTTAGTAGTGGATTTATCATGCTGCAATTATGGTTTCCCACCAGCAACAACAGAAGGATAATATACAAAAGCAAACATTCTTAAATCCATCACGTGTTTATTTTGGGATAAATATCAAGCTGTTAATGTGGGGTTCTGTCTGTGAATGTGTGCTCTCTGCGCTGTGAGGGGAAACACACACCTTCTTAGAGTGAGACGCTGCCCAAGATATTAACAATGACACATTGTGTATGGGAAAACACGTTGGCATTACTGCACTTGTAGGGACCAACGCTGCCAACTACATCGTGTTATGCTACATGCGAGGAGTATTTTTTTACCTAAATATAATCCTGTTTCCAAATCTGAATTTTGCCCTTAATCCATTATTCCATACTCTCTTAACTTTTGTCTTATGTATTCTCAAACTCTTAAACTTAAACTCAAAATCCTTCAAATACCTCATCTTCAGTCTTACTTAACACCGTGTTTTCGTGGTGGAGGAGAACTCACAGGTCCCCTTTCTTGTTAAATTCACCAACAGTAGTCTCAGAGCCTTTTGGGGTCTCAGGGCTACACCCTCTATAGTTTAAATGACTTTACAGAACAGTCATAAAAGAGGAAGGCCAGCATTCCCTATGAAAACAACAGCTTTACGGGGGTTTGCATGCAGTCATTCATATTTAAGGTGACTTTCTTTGCAATGGGTGCCTTTCGGTCCAATTTTTGGGTTATTTAATTTCTGTCAGTGTACAGGTTGCTGTGGTTTAGTGAGGTGTGGTTGTAGGTAGGAGGTGAGTTTCAGCTAACATTGACACAGCCAAAGAGAGTGAGCTTAAAAAATCAGTTACTGCAGGTTTAAGTTCATTTAAAGGTAAGTAAAAGCAGCAAGAGTTTTTAACTGATTATGAAACAGTCAGTTTAATATTGATGTTACTGTATGACCTACACAAACAAACAAAATGGGAAAGGATTGGCTATTCTTAATGCCTGCCACTGGGTCGGGTTTCCCTTGAAATCAATAAAGTGAGGGGGTGGTACAAGCTTTAAGTTTTAAGTTTATGTTAGGCAATCAATCTGACCTCTGTCATATTAGACCAGTCATATCCATAGCAACTAAAAACGAGAGGTTCACATGAGTGACAGGAAATCCTTTCATTTTAGGTGTAGATCTTTTTTAACATGAAAAAAAAAGATTTCAAAGCCACAGTGGTTTCTCAGCCCGTTCTCATGCCCAGGTTGTCAAATACAGACGCAAACTGTGTTCAGTTATTTACAATCTGCAACTTCACTGCTAGATAAATCCCACACTGGTCCTTTAAATTCCACAAATAGGCATTCAGATGCGTATAAAATTCGAATGATTATTACGTTTGTCCAAGGTTTGGTACAAGTCTTTATTTTCACCCTCTAATGGTAGTGGACATGGTAACAGTAATCGTATTGTTTACAGTAGTTCCAACTGGGAAGTACAGCACATCTCTTTTACATAGACTTGTACTGTATGCTTTATTAATCCCCCAGTAGTCCAGCTGGTAAGGTGAGAAATATACCAAAAGGTGCTGAAAATGCTCTCTACACAGTTTTCAGACATGCAACTCATTTTTTCCCACACTCTCTTCCCTATATTTTATTTTCCCTGATTCATCAACCCCCTTAGTCCAACAACTTTCATCCTTTCCCTCTTTCTCTGTTTTATCTTTGCTTTTGTTTCACACTTCCTCATTATAAAAAAACGTTCCTTCCCATTTGTATACCAGCAGTCTATTGCTAATGTTGCATTGACCATCAAATACTGTGAAACACTGAAAATGAGAAAAACAACTGGTTGGGTGGATTTGGAGGATTTGTGCCTAACAGCATATTGAATGCTACACAAGAAACACACACTCTGTGATGTGTTTGTTTCAGGGGGATTATCTCTCACCTCTGTCTGTTGTGTCTCTTTGTCTGAATACAGACGTGAAAATCTGCAGGCTATGTGGGCTAGACATACACACAGAAACCCACCCACCCACC